TGCCAGGTATCTTGAGGATGTCTGCAAAATAATTAAAAGTAAAATTGACTCAGGAATATATGAACCATCGAATGCTAGTTATCGTTCGAAATGGTTCTGTGTCATTAAGAAAGATGGCAAGAGTCTGCAATTAGTACATAGTTTGGAACCTTTGAATAAGGTTACCATCCAACACTCAGGCGTACCTCCTGCAACTGCAGATCTAGCAAATCCTTCAGTGGAAGATCTTGTGGAGGAACCTTAGATTTATATGTTGGATATGAATGAACGAGAATTAGATCAATTGTCTAGAGACATGACGACGTTTCAAACGCCGTATGGACCACATAGGTTAGTAAAACTACCTATGGGGTGGACAAATTCCGTACCTATATTTCACAACAATGTGACATAGATTCTATGAGATGAAATACCACACGTAACAATTCCTTACATTGATGATGTACCTGTAAAAGGACCATCAACTCGATATGAATTACCAGAAGGAGGTTACGAAACCATTCCAGAGAATCCTGGAATTAGACGATTTGTTTGGGAACACTTCCAAAACATGAATAGAGTAATACAACGAATGAAATATGCAGGTGGAACCTTCAGTGGAACCAAAGCATTTCCTTGTTGTGAGGAAACAATTGTCGTAGGACATAGATGTACCTATGAAGGCAGTATGCCCGAAGAACATATTGCTCAAGTAGTCCTAGAATGGCCTTCATGTCGTGATAAGACTGAGGTTCGAGCATTCTTAGGGACTGCAAGTCAATTGAGAATGTTCATTGCGAACTTTGCTAAGAAAGCAGCTCCTTTGACTAAGTTGACGAGTAATGTTCCATTTGAATGGAATGAAAAATGTGACAAAGCAATGGGCAAATTAAAGGATGGAATCCGAGACTGTCCAGCTTTGAGACCAATTAATTTTGATTGGGATGTTTACTTAGCGATGGATACCTCTTACAAAGCTGTGGAATGGTATATCTATCAAATTGATCCGACTGAAAAGAAGAAGTTCTTCAATTACTTTGGATCAATGACTTTGAATGAACGCGAAGCACGATCTCGCAATCTAAGAGAGAATTGTATGGCTTAAAATTAGCATTGGAAGCTAGTTATTATCATGTCTATGGATGTAGACGTTTAACAGTTGAAACTGATGCAAGTTATATTAAAGGCATGTTAGACAATCCTAGTTGTGGTCCTAATGCAACTATAAACCGTTGGATTGAGCATGTACAAAACTATCACTTTACATTAATCCATGTAAAAGGTGCAACCCATGGTCCTGATGGATTATCACGAATCACACCTGGTGGATGGCAAACAAAGCGTCCAGAAGTAAATCCAGAAGATTACGTTGATGAGGATGGTGGGGAACCAATTAATTTTATTATAGGAGATAAGGAAACGGAAGAGCCGTATCAATTTGATGACTTCAAAGATCAAATTGACCCTAGAAGTGGTTACTTATACGAAACAGCTCAAGAGGCTGATGATATTGAATTAGATGTACAAGAAGCTCTAGATGAAGAGCGCAGCTACGAGATTCGTAGGAACCACATGTTAGAATCCAAAAATGCAACATGTGAAGTCTTCAGTAGGAATTTGTTCCCTACCTTTGACAAAGAATTTGTACAAAATAATCCGTACCCAGAAGCACATAGATCTTCTGAGGGTAATAGATTAGACGAATTAATTCCTTTGATTGGGAAGTACTTGTCGAACCCATCAGATGAATCCCTGGGTGAAATGTCAAAAGATGAACGGATTAAATTTATTAGATTGATTAAGAAGTTTCAAGTGGACAACCGGGGAAGGTTGTACCATAGGAATACTGATCAACCTGATCAACCACAATTAGTGGTGGAAAAAGAAAAGCGTATGCACATGTTGAATAGTGCACATGATTGTTTAGGACACAAAGGAGTCTTTGCAACGAATGATTTCTTGCAGAAACGATTCTGGTGGCCTGACATATATAAAGACATGGAATGGTATGTGAGATCATGTAAGGAGTGTCAAAATAGACAGATGAAGCTGTTGAAAGCACCTCCTACTTTGATGCATACACCTTCATTATTTCAGAAGGTACATGTTGATACAATGATAATGTCGATTCCATCTAATGGATGTAAATACATCATCCATGGAAGGGATTCACTGTCTTCGTGGTCTGAGGCCCGAGCAGTAAAACATGAAAATGCTAGAACTTTAGGAGAATGGTTCTTTGACGATATAATTTGTCGTTGGGGATGTCCTGAAGAAGTGGTGACCAATAATGCAGGTCAAATGAAAAACATGCTAGCTTGGTTAGAAGAGAAGTATGGAATTAAAGGAATAAGAATTTCCGCCTACAACTCTCAAGCTAATGGAAAGATTGAGAGAGCGCATTTGGACATACGTGAGGCCCCGGCACAGATGGCCTGCTCTGGTCTTACCCAGACTGGGCCTAAGCGAACGCAGTAGCCGCCTAGGCCGTACGAGGAGGTATGGGATAGTGCCGATACTGGTGAGGGGAGCCTAACCAGGGGTAGTTGTGGAGCTTGGGTAGACCTAATAGAGGGTCCTGGAGGTGTAGAACGTAACGCATAACCACCGCTTCGATGTGGAGGGGAGGTGTAGCTGATACGAGTGGGAAGCTGTGGGGAGCTTAGGGAGCAATAAAGCGGAATTGGGAACCTAATGGGAGGTTCCAAAGGATGAAGGACGAATTGTAGAGCCTCGACGTAGATGGTGAGTCGAAGTAGAGGCGTAGACAATACGAGGATTGACAGAAAGAGGCCAGAGATCAGAAACAGTGAGGAGAAACAGAGTTGAGGTGAGACAGAGATAAAGGAAACAGATAATGAGGAAATATATGACTGTTGAGACGTGTCAGGCCCTGTTAGCAAGTACTAGTAGACTGTACTAAGGGACCAAGCCAGGTAGGAAGAGTTTCCAGGTAAGATTTGACAATAACACGCTGGGGAGCTCCGAGGGGAGTCCCCAGCCTATATACTGTACATGAGGCTGTCAGGTACATATGTCATGTGGCTACTGGAATGACAGGTAATATGTACAGTAAAGATCGTAAGGATGGTGCATAGAATATCGGAAACATGTATAAGTGATGAACCGGAGCTCTGGAAGGAAAAGGAAAAGGTCCGGAGAAGCAAGGCATGACAGTACCCCCCCTCTAAAACCTGAGCCCGCGAAGGTAGAAAATGGTCACAAAGTTTAAATAAATCATGGAGATAAAGTTGAAGGTACCATAGGAAAGGTTTCGGTGTGAGGGGGACAGTGACAGGAGGATAGCTCAGAATGCAGGCATTGACCTGAACACCAGATAGGGCATTGGAAAGAGGTTCAGAAGCACTTCCTGACGCCCCCAGAACATCCCAAATGCAAGCAAAAGTAAAGGAGTGGTGCATCAGGAAACCCACCCATGGAAAATGGGGCACAAATTTCGACAATTTTGAGAAATAACACGAATTAGCTAGTTTTCCAAATTTGCCAGATTAGTTAGCCCCCCATATATTTTTCGAAGAATTTTTGCAAACTTCGAATAAGTTTCCGTGATTTCTTCCAGTCCAAGATGTGAAATTAGCCACCTTTGTGAACACTTTCACCTAATTTCATCCATCTATCGCAGTCTTATTTTTGAAAATTAGCTTGTATTCGCCGATTCATTGAGGCTTAAGCATTGAAATTGAGACAAATTTAGACATATTGAGTCAGACAGTAGGAATAATTTCATTGCATTAAATCATGGAGAATAAATGTAGCTTAACAGGATCCACTCTTCGACTGATTAAAACAAATGAATATAGCATAGTCGTATATAGAATAACGCGGGGGATGCAGAATTAGGTGTTACATCACAGCGGATGTCATAGTAACGGGCTCGGAGCTGCGATACTATGTTGTAGAGGCAGCAGGAGCAGCGGGAGAAGTGTCAACATTGACTGCAGCAAGCGCAGCCCAATCTGTTGTGTCAAGAATTTGTTGCTGCGACCAACCATGCTGAGCAAGTGGCAATGCACCACTGGAGAAAACAGGTTAGTAAGACATCGAGTATCAACTAAAATGCTTACGAAGTTGCCATGTACAATTCATGCATAATCTTATGGTAGAGCGCGCGGTTGACACGTTCGATATTCTCAAGGGTACAAATGGCAGTCCTCCAAATCGCAGCAGACTCTGTGGCTGGGAAGCTTGCGGGACGACCACCACGCGAGTAGTCATTGAGTAATGCGTGAATCTAGATTGTTATGAGCTATGGCTAGAGTAAAATTTAATGAAACGTACCCCAGCTGTTGCGAGGGCCACCATGCCTTTTGTGAGCTCCAATTCTAGCGGCTTGCTCTGATTTGAGGAGGTGAAACGGCCTTGACATCCTCGGATCACTGTACCATATAACCCTGTACCGAAGAATGTCCCTTGGATATAGGCAATGTACGCAGGATGTTGGAAAGGTTTGAGATTATCGAAATTGCCATTCTAAGGATACGTTAGCAAAGTCACGCATACTGATGAGGACAACAGACCAGATCGAGACCATACATGAAATGTTTGGTAAGGATTATTTGAGCTGCAGTCATAGTCCCTCCGAAGTTATTCAATCCATAAGCATTAACAACAACGGCACTCAATCCACTCCCTTTCAGCTCCTTTGCTCGCTCGTTTCCAATGCGGCTAGCCACCTATGAGAAAATATGATCAGATGTCCAATGAGAGCGAGAAAACAACACCATACATAAGCTGTCAAAGGCTTGATATACGTGTCATGCTCTCCGTGTTCCAAACGATCAGCTACATCATGCTCGCCCTCATATCCTAATTGTTCTGCAGCCTTGATTAGTGAGCTTATAGCGAGTTGCTTCACTTCTTCCGAATCCAAAGGACAATACTTGTGGCCTGTTAAAAGCTCAGCCTTACCCTCTTTGATGGCTCGCTCAATTACACCTTGCATAGTTGTAGATTGTCCGCTTTTGCTGAGAATCCAGGTGTGCCCAGAAGTCCCCTTGCAATGAACTGCAATAGTGGTACGATCTCTCCCAGTGGGACCCACCAGTGGAACTGTCGCCGGAAGAGTTGTAGTCAAACGTGTTTTATTGACCGGTACAGGTACAGGAACATTCTTCGATGTTGGAAGGTTCTCATTAGTGATCCGTGGCAACTTCGAGTCCATTCAGTGTAAAGTATGGTGCGTAGACAGGATACACACCTCATATTCGAGCTTCCTAGCGACTTCTTGTGTCACCTGTCGGAGTGGAGGTGATTGCTCTACTACAGAATTGTCATTGAAATCTGATGCCGGTGGTGTGGAAGGAGAAGAAGACAGATCAAGACTTGATGAACGGATATGAGGCACTACATATACAATCAGGTTAGTGACCGAACTGTAATACACATAATTATTCTAAGCTCACCATAGTTTCCGACAATGATGAACGGAAATGTGCCGCCTATGCACCAGGTAGGTGAATACAATGTATGCAGAGAAAATAATTGAGCGCACCTCCATCTCAAAGGAGTGTACAGCTTGTCGGTCATGTTCCCGCTCATTCTCAATTATGCCATGACCGTCGTCATTATCCTCTGGACCACTAGAGTCAATGTCTGGCTCTGCATGCTCTCTCGCTGAAATGATGTCATTAGAAACTGACGGCGGTGGGGAAGCAATATATGGATCTAAGGTTGAATGAATTGGTTGACATTCATAACGAGTAATGCAATAATCATACCTTCCTCAGGCATGTCTACATTGACCTGTATAGCCCCATGCTTTCGAGCCTCTGTAGGAAATTTCAGTGGGTAGGAATGCACCTCACTCAAATACAAGGACGTACTTGCTGGCTTAGACTTCAATGGTGTGTTCATGGCCGCTGTGGCAGACTTGTTATTTGATGCTTTCTTTGTCTTCTTCGAGGCTGGTGTATCTAGAAGAAAAAAGGTATGAGCAGAGAGTATTTCAAAATATGTCATGACCTGGACCTTTTGTGGAACGCTTTCGCTTGGCCGACGTCTCTGTTGACACAAAGGTAGGTGTAGTAGGTGTAGTGTCAGCAACAGACTTGTTGCGAGCACTCCGCCGTGCAGCTACTGTTTCCCCCATAGACTGCTGTGTAGTTACAGGTAGAGGCGGGACATCTACTGTGGACTTGCGCCCGGCTCTGGACATGGCAGAAGCTCAGTGAATAAAAAATGGAAAAAATTAGCTGAGAAAAGAACGAAAAAATCATGAAGCATTGGACTTGACCATAAATAATTTTACCATCATGTGACTCAAGAACGGCATTTCAAGCTACAATATCAATATCTGTTCACTTAATATTTGCAATATCATGACTTTTGTTTGCTCTGCATGTCGGAGATCCTTCAAACGGCTAGGACATCTTATACAGCATGAAGATAAAACTGGTAATCATGCTTGCAAGGAAGCTGGAAGAGCACGGGTAGAGATTCTTCGGCGCAACAGTACTAGATCTCCCCGTCGCAGCTACCATAGACCTCACCATCAATCAGATTCACCCCAGCAGTCTCATCATGACCGGTCCCAGTCACTCGATACTCATTCATCTACATCTCACTCTTCCGAATCATCAAATCCAGATGGTGACGATGAAGGCAATGAAGGAAATGGGCCGATTAAGATCTTCAGGGGTGATTTTTTTGGAAATGACTATATGGCAGATGATTTCCCAGGCTTAGATGATGATGATGAGGAAGACCTTGCTGGAGATGTCAATAGGGAAGATGGAGATGAAGATGAAGATGAAGATGTCTTCGATGATACTTTGATGGATCTCGAACAAACCTGGGAAGAAGAAAGGGAGCGTGTTGTCATTCCAGAGGAGAGAGAAGAATACAATACCATGGATGTTGATGAGAGTACAAGGAAATCATGCCTCCGTTCACTCCCAGCACACCGCGATGACATTCATGTTGATGTGTATGGGGGTCAAGCTGGTGCTCCACTTCCTGATTCAAATCCAACCCACACTTTGCACGATTCCTCACATGGGTTTCTCCACTATCAGTCCCAGATCTCTGGTATTAACCATAATCCATGGGCTCCGTTTCAATCACGCATCGACTGGGAAGTCGCTCGTTGGGCAAAAATGCGTGGACCCAGTTCAACTGCCTTTTCAGAATTACTTGAGATTGATGGAGTGCGTTTTTAGAACTGATGTTTCTCAAAGCTCAGTGTTGACTTTCTGCCCCAGGTTTGTAAAGCTCTTGGACTCTCGTATCGGAATAGCAATGAAGTTAATGGTATCATTGACACTGGTCTCCCCACTCAGCGCCCATCTTTCACCCGGGAAGAGGTCATCATTGCTGGAGAATCATTTGATTTATATAAACGGGACATCAAAGAATGTATCCAAGCATTATATGGATCTCCTGAGCATGCACGTTACATGTGTTTTACACCTGAACGGCACTACTCTGATGCAGATAAGACTTCTCGGCTCTATCATGATTTCTATACTGGAAAATGGTGGTGGGCTACACAGGTAAGTATCAAATCAAAGTGAATATTCTCTCCTGATAGCAGGTGCATTCATTCAGACTGCATTAGAGAAGGAAAACCCTGGGGCGACAGTGATTCCTATCATTATATCTAGTGACAAAACTCAAGTCACTCTGTTTCGCAATAAATCTGCATATCCTGTTTATCTTACTATCGGTAACCTTCCCAAAGAGATTCGGCGGAAACCCTCACAGCAGGGTCAAATTCTACTGGCATACCTTCCAACAACAAAGCTACAACATCTGACTACTAAGGCTGGACGACGACGAGCTCTAGCAAACTTGTTTCATGCATGTATGGGTAATTTAGTTGCACCACTTAAGGAGCTTGGAATATCTGGAGTTGTCATGCAGAGTGGTGATGGAGTCAAACGACGATGTCATCCAATCTTGGCAGCATACATTGGAGACTATCCGGAACAGATCCTGGTGTCCTGTGGATATTACGGCGATTGTCCAGTCTGCATGACAACAAAGGACAAGCTTGGTGAATATCCGTGTTCCCACCTCTTTTGAGATCCTGACAAAGCTGTCGAAGCTGCGAAACTTATACACACCAACCTGTGGGTGGACCACTGTGACGAGGCCAATCTGAAGCCTGTGCAGCATCCATTTTGGGAAGACTTGCCTTACACCGATATATTCCGTTCGATTACACCTGATATTCTGCACCAGATGTACCAGGGAGTTATGAAACACCTTGTTCAATGGATTACCAGTATTGTTGGTGCAGCTGAAATTGATGCTCGGGTCCGTCGCCTACCCCCAAATCATGGTATCCGTCAATTTCAGAAGGGTATTTCTACCCTTTCGCGGGTGAGCGGATCAGAACACAAGCAGATGTGCACATTTCTTCTTGCCCTTATAATCGATATCCCTCATTTGACACCTCAACAATCACACAATCTCTCAACTGCAACTCGCTCGCTTCTTGATTTCCTCTACCTCGCATGCTACCCCATCCATAGTGATGATTCATTGGATATTCTCGAAGCATCACTTGCAACATTCCATGAGTATAGAGATGTCTTTGCTCAGTTGTCAGTCCGTGAGCACTTCAACCTACCAAAACTCCACTTTCTATGCCATTGTGTCTGTGCTATCAAACTCTATGGGACGACTGATAATTATAATACTGAAACCACTGAGCGCCTTCACATCGACTTTACAAAAGATGCCTTTCGGTCATCAAACCGGAAAGATGAATACCCACAAATGACTCGATGGTTAGAACGTCATGAAAAGATCATTCACCATACCAACTATCTTACTTGGAGGAGTACCAGATCTCCAAGCCCTGCTGCAGCATCCCTAGATGTGGGACAACGTTTCGACTTCCCTGGTGCAATACGTTCATTGTCAGACCTCAAATGCACACTTACACAGCAAATGGCGAAGACACCTACTCTCCGATCAGTTTCACTCTCGAAGATTGAAGATACAGGCTCTCGAGGTTACGGTGCAGTGAACTTCATACCTGCACTGAAGAGATTTATTGCTCAATTCCGGCATCCTGACTATGAGCCTTGGCGCCAGTTAGAAATGGCCGAGTTCATCACTTTTCCATTCCGAAACTTACCTGTATGGCACCGTTTGAAATTTCGGAATGAAGAACTTTACGATAAATGCACTTTGGATACAGTTTGTGCCTACCCGCGACGATATAATTCAAGAAATGAAGTTATTCAGCATGCACGCTTCGATGCAGCACTGATCCAGGTGAATGGAGTGGAGGTTAATAGCGATAATTATTTCAAAGGTAACGACCCACAGTATATCCCAAATCTGACAATATAATGACACAAGCTACCTAGGTATGCAAGTCGGTCGTGTCCGTGTCATATTTTCGCTTCCTGAAGGCAAGCTTGATGGATTACTTCCAGCAAACATGACACCACCGAAATACCTTGCATATGTGGAGTGGTTCAGCTGTTTTCCAAGTCGAGCAGAATCTTACACAGGACTGTATTGTTTGAAAAAGCAGTTCAATAGAGATGGAACTCCTGCAGCCTCCATTCTGCCACTGGAGACGATCAAACACAGTGTTCATTTGTATCCGAAGTGGGGTGGAACAGTTCCTGCAGCTTGGACAAGTGAAAACGTACTTGATAAATGTCAGACATTTCTCTTGAGTCCATTTCGAGACACACACATGTACTTTAATATGGGATAATTAACACTAATTTGCGAGTTGCGAGATGTACATCTGTAGTTGTTCTCACACTCAATGCCTTTCCACGTCAATCATCTTTTCACTGTCATCAACAGCAATGAAGAGGTCAGCTTCGGAATTGGAAGATGATGATGAAATTACCGAGAGCTCACAAGATTCGGAGATGCCAATGAGTGTTTGGCTTCAACAGCGTAGAGCTAACAGCTACAGGTATGTGTTCCCTACATGCTTCTTTTGCAGCGTTGCTCATTGCTTCTACAGCCCTCTTAGATCTTCCAAGACCCCGAAGCGGATGACTGAAGACATTCAACATGATTTGAACCAGACTCTGGTCGAAGTCAACAACAACGAAGTATTATGTGCTACATGCAGAATACCAGTCACACTGTGGGATGTCGAAAAGAATGTACCTGTTCAGGCCGTCGGTGAGAAAACTCTCGAGTCCCTGACACCCAAATACTGATATTCCAAGAAGCATCAAAGTATAATAGGCTTGTCCGAAGATTCCTACGTCCCGAAGAAGTTGGTGACAATATTATCATTGCGGAGAACGTACGACTCAGGAATACTATCCGTTCCCTTGAGAAGGCACTTAGTGACCGCCAACATGATGTATGGCAACTTGAAGATGAATTGAAAACCCTTCGAGACGGTCTTCGACAGCTTTTAGTACATTGATGATAATTCCACTCTCTTTGATACAGTAGAGACGCATGTTTTTTGCTTACTTCAATGCACAGCGTAATTCTTATCCTCTACATGTCTCAAATTAATCTAAGTAATTTTTGATAATTGGGAGCGACCTCTGTTATGAATGGAATATTATGGAATATTAGGAAGGTTTGCACAAATCCACTCAAATTTTTCGTTTTCGAAGATTAGTAGAAAGTTTTTGCCCGATTTCCCGGGGGTGGGTTTCCTGATGTGGTACCTGCCCTTCTCATAGTACTGGCTGACAATGAGGAGGACACCACTCCTGAACAAAGGAGCTCCATGGGGCGATCGAGGGGGCATTGAGAAGGTAGAGAGCAGAGCTTCCAGGCAGTCCAAGAACATCCCCAATGCGAGCAGAGCTGAAGGAGTTATTATACCTCCTCTCCTCATGGTACTGACTGACAGTGAGGGGGTGTCACTCTTGAACGAAAGAGTTCTATGGAGCAGCTAGGGAGGCATTATAAAGCTGCGGAATAGGGCTTCCAAATGGTCCAAACACGTCCTGGACACGAGGAGAACTGAAGGAGTTATGGCACCTCCTCCCCTTGTAGTACTGGCTGACAGTGAGGGGAGCATTCCTCTGGAACGGGGGATCTCCATAGAGCGATCAAGGGAGCGTTGGAAAGCTAAGGATTAGAGCCTCCAAACGCCCTGAGCACATGCGAGGAGAATCGAAGAAGTTATGGTACCTCCTCTCCTCGTAGTACTGGCTGACAGTGAGGGGATCATTCCTCTGGGACAGGGGATCTCCATAGAGCGATCAAGGCAGCGTTTGGAAGCTATGGAGTAGAGCTTCCCAACGCCCTGGACACGTCCCAAATGTGAGGAGAATCGAAGAAGTTATGGTACCTCCTCTCCTTGTAGTACTGACTGACAGGGAGGAGAACATTCCTCTGGAACGCAGCAGCTCCATAGGGCGGTCAGGGGTGCGTTATGAAGCTATGGCTCAGGGTTCTCAAATGCTTCAAACACGTCCAGAATGCGAGGAGAATGGAAGAAGTTATGGGACCCCCTCTCCTCGTAGTACTGGCTGACAGTGAGGGGCACATTCCTCTGGAACGGAGGAGCTCCATAAGGCGGTCATAGGAGCATTTGGAAACTGTGGAATAGGGCTTCAAAATGGTCCAAACGCGTCCGAAATGCGAACAGAACTGAAGGAGTTATAATACCTCCTCTCTTCAATGTACCTGCAATCACTGGATAGACTACATCTCCGGAACGAGACCACATGTTGGCACAGTTGCTGGGGCGTTTGAAAGGTATGACAAGGAGCTTTTCAGTGGTCCAAACACGTCCGAAACGTGAATAGAAACGAAGGAGTTATAATACCTCCTCTCTTCGATGTACCTGCAATCACTGAATGGACTACATCTCCGGAATGAGGACACACATTGGCACAGGTGTTGGGGCATTTGGAAGGTAAGATGGGAAGCTTTCCAGCGGTCCAAGCACGTCCCAAATGCGAACAGAAGCGAAAAAGTTATGATACATATAATGGGAAGAGGCAATCAAAATCATCATTAAGTTAAATTGTACCTTAGGGAAGAAAGGAGCTTCTTCTGCTCCTAATCCTCCAGCTCTGGGGCATCATCAGAGCTGCTCTGGTGAGAAGGTGCTATCCAGGGGGGTTTCTGACGAGGAGGAGGGTCCAAAAGTGCGATCCTGGACACCTGGGAATGTGCAAAGACATAGCCCTGATGGAAAGAAGCTATCCAGGGAGGTTTTCGACGAGGAGGAGGGTCTGAAAGCCTGATTCTGGACACCTGGAGACATACAGGGATGTTCTTATGAACTGTCTGCAGGGCAGGAATGCACCACTGTACAGTCCCAGGTTCCTGTGACATTGTGGATAGATCCTGGGCCTGGGTGGGTCTTTTAGGCATAGCTCTTGGTCCAGCTGGACGCTTCAGAGGTGCTCCAGGGGATATCAAAACTGGTTGAAAGCTCCTCCCATGAAATGAGAGTCTAGCAAGTTGACCAGTATGCTCTGGGGACACTGAGGGAGGTGTTCCAGATGTCCATAGCAGTGGGCCAATACTTCGAGGCCCTTCCTGACGAATGGCAAATCGGTCCCAGTGAAGCTTCATGAAGAATGGGGAGGTGGAAGGGATGAAATTGGGTTTGGGGAGGTATGTGGGAATCATGGAGGCGAGGCAAGTGGTGTACATGGACCTACTCAACAACCGGACTGGAGAGAACTCCCTTTGAGCGTGTTATTATGTGAGGCCCCGGCACAGATGGCCTGCTCTGGTCTTACCCAGACTGGGCCTAAGCGAACGCAGTAGCCGCCTAGGCCGTACGAGGAGGTATGGGATAGTGCCGATACTGGTGAGGGGAGCCTAACCAGGGGTAGTTGTGGAGCTTGGGTAGACCTAATAGAGGGTCCTGGAGGTGTAGAACGTAACGCGTAACCACCGCTTCGATGTGGAGGGGAGGTGTAGCTGATACGAGTGGGAAGCTGTGGGGAGCTTAGGGAGCAATAAAGCGGAATTGGGAACCTAATGGGAGGTTCCAAAGGATGAAGGACGAATTGTAGAGCCTCGACGTAGATGGTGAGTCGAAGTAGAGGCGTAGACAATACGAGGATTGATAGAAAGAGGCCAGAGATCAGAAACAGTGAGGAGAAACAGAGTTGAGGTGAGACAGAGATAAAGGAAACAGATAATGAGGAAATATATGACTGTTGAGACGTGTCAGGCCCTGTTAGCAAGTACTAGTAGACTGTACTAAAGGGACCAAGCCAGGTAGGAAGAGTTTCCAGGTAAGATTTGACAATAACACGCTGGGGAGCTCCGAGGGGAGTCCCCAGCCTATATACTGTACATGAGGCTGTCAGGTACATATGTCATGTGGCTACTGGAGTGACAGGTAATATGTACAGTAAAGATCGTAAGGATGGTGCATAGAATATCGGAAACATGTATAAGTGATGAACCGGAGCTCTGGAAGGAAAAGGAAAAGGTCCGGAGAAGCAAGGCATGACAGGGTGGCTCTTATATCATTGCTGAAATGGATGGAACAGTACTTAAAGAGAAGGTCGGAGCCTTCAGAGTATTGCCGCATTTCACGCGAAATGAATCAATTGAATTGCCAAACAATATTCACGAACTTATCGACTTAACTGCCGAACAATTAGATTTAATGGTAGAAGATGAAGATGAATATTGGATGACACCAGAGAATGATTACATATTCGATGCCATACCGCATTTGAGACTCTCAGATACCAACTCTGACGAAGAACTCAGTGAGGAAGAGGATCAATAATTAGATTGAAACTCTGATGATATACTGTTACAAACTAACATCATGAAATGAATGGCGATGGTAAGATGATGCATCTACTATACAGCTGTGATGGCGTAAAGACAGTAGGCATGAAATGAATGAATACGAATAGATGAAAACATGTAGAGACAGTGGGTCAACACGAACAACTGTTTTTATAATATTTATGGGTTTTAAACAAATGCATCTAAATGATGATGTATTAATTTAAATGAATATCAATTAGATGGATTGCAGACCTAGGCAGAGATGTGTCCTTTGTCTTCCATCATAGGAGTAACACCACGAGTGAATGGAGTAGTAGCTCGTTCGACGGTCTTAAGGACTGGAACAGTAATCTCGGTAGGAGTGACGACGGTGTCCTCAGAACCGGTGGTGGGAATACTCTGAGCAGTAGCAAAACTTGCGTCAGAAGCAGAGGAGTCTGAACCAGAATCTTGGCGACTTTTCAAGATGCTGCAAGCTTCGTCCGCAATTACCTTGGCAATATGTGCACGAGTTGCATAAGTCTTGACCAGGTTTGCGTTAAATTCGAATTCAGCTGCCTGAAAGTTGAGTGTAGCAGCAATGAATTTGGTACTTTGCGACTCAAGAGGAGCTGGCGGAGTATCGAGATTGGAAGATACGACTTGAGCAAGAGCATGATTGATATGCTTGCTGTGGGTCACTAAAAAACACGAAATAAGAATCCATTTGAAACGGATTTAAATTAAATTGAATCACCTTTATCTTCAGCAAGACACGACATACAGTTGGATGAAACATGACTGTCTGCGTGGCAATGAACCTTGCTGAGATGAGGAGAAACCTTGTTCACAGCAGACTTTTCATCCTTGGTGGAACCTTTGTTGGAACCAGTGGTGGGATAGGGAGTGCTGCGACGATTCTACGACATGGAATGAGTCGTGGATACAGAACATGATAACATTTTAACTCACCTTGATAAAAGAGAGAGTAGGCTTCTGTTTGAAACTGCGGTCAGTTCCAGACACCAACTCGTCCTCGGAGGCTGAATTCATCTGAACGAAATTGATAAATCAAATTAATTGAGATTAGATCTGAGAATTTACCTCGACATCAGAGTCGAAACGAACAGATCTAGGTTCACGTTTGACGTCACGAGAGGAAGCAAATCTAGTAGCTTTCTTCTTGGACTTCCTGATAAAACGAGAATTATCGGCACGAGTAGACGCCTCGTGATCCGAATGAACTGAACGAGCACGATCGAGGAGGCGATTCCTAACGAAAGTGTTCTGAAAAGACTATGAATGTAAATAGTCACGAAGGAAATTGATACATACACGAGCATCATTGGCAAAAGCCATGAACTTAAGATGTTGCTCGAAGTGAGAATCACTGACGATGTCAGGAAATAGTTTGTGCCCAAGACACAAAGTATCGATAATGCTCTGACGAGCAGTCAAGTTAGAGACCTATCTAACGTGACTACGAAGGGTCACAGGCTTTTCCTGAGAATAAACGATTTAAATTGATACGTATCAATTAAATTGAATGAAGAATACATAGCAAGAGATCATGAAGATACTCGGTAGACCGACGAAGGACAGAAATTGTCGCCTTGTCGGGATTGTTCGTCTTCTTGCCTTTGAACGAAGCAAGTAACTGCTGCAAAGCACCCAAGTGGGGCTCAGCAACTCGAGCAATGTCAAGATCCTTCTTGTGATGGATAGGCATGCTAGGATGAACGATGATAGATGTTGATGGAACTTTGTATGGAATGAGAGCTCGACTAAGTTCGACTAATGCAAGTCGACTTGGAATGAATGGCATATTGATAGTCAATTGGCCTGAGCTTTTATACCGAAACAGTGAAATCAAGCTCCTGACCAAATTAGGACAACTGAGGACAGTTGAATTCTTTAGTTTGGGGGAGGAGGATATCGATTGATATCGATTTGATTGAAAATTTACAAAATTTCAATTAGACAAATAGTTTTGCAATTAGATTGAATGGTATTGAGAACGCAGTGACCCAGAATTGATCAAAGCGATCATACAGAAGGTCAAAATAAGCAGAATGAGTAAAGAAACTGCGCTCAGAACCTGAAAGTGGAGTTGAGAATACCTCCCGACGTTGTTATAATCAATGGCGAACGGAGATCGACTTGAGCACTCAGGACGATGAAGACAGGAAAGTCTTGCGGTCCTGATCTCGCATGAAAATTCATGACAGGATCCGGAATGGAGTCTTACTTTGAACCCCTATTCAGAGGTGGAACTCAGAGTCAGCTCAATAATTCGCAAGCACTCATTCAAATTAAAACAAGAATCGAGTTGAAAAGTATATTGAGTGAACAATGGTTATAGGAATTCATTCAAATTAAATGAGACTTAAGTTCACTCATTCAAATTAAGATAAACATGAGCATGAGAACTCGTAAATTGATATATACAGGATAGTATAAGCTATCCACAACAAAATAATAGGTAAACTACCTACAAGAAATACAAGAAAAACAAGAAAGAGACAAGATAGATATTAGATTAATGAAATCTAATTAAAACGAAATGGTCTCGAGCGACCTGTGGTCCTGAAAAGGTCCATAATAAGATGTTTTGGGTTAAGAAACCCAGACAATAAGACCGCGAGTGGTCAGCTATAATGAAATATGCAGGTTATAAAACCCGTCCGTCTGTGTGTGTATAAGAAAAACAAAATAAAAAATAAAAAATAAAAAGAAAACGATGCCCCGACGCCCAAGGAATCAGCTACGATTCAAGAGCCTGCGCTGGCTCTGCCCCCTTTTCAGGAGACAGAGTTTGCTCGGCCAAACTCTCAATCGTAGGGAGATCCAGCTCCATAGGAACAGATTCCCCTACCCGACTGCTGGTACCTTCGTCCGCCGATCCCTTCTCTACTTCATTGAGGCCTTCGAAAGCCTCAGTAGCAGAATCCGGAGGTGGCGAGGACTCGACCAGGTGCCCGTTTTCGTCAAGATGTGCCGTTAACTCCCCAGAATGGATGCTGCGTAGCAGTTCAATCCATTCCCCTGGAGTTCGATTGTCGAAGTCCAGCCCACTCAAATTGAATGGACTGGGCCAACGGAATAGAGTGGCCATAAGGGTCCACTCATTTAGATTGATCGCCCGACGATTGGGCTCGGCGGCCTTGAGTGCTTCCAGTACAACAATGGGGTCCTCCCCGGCATTCTGCAGATCCAAGATGGATCGCAAGAAGAGGTCCCGCGTGGTGTCGAAAAGAGACCCGAGCTGTTTCAATTGGTCATTCAAGTCGGTGGCTCGTCGTAATGAGTTTGCTAGGTCTAAATAGAATCAAACAAATTAAATTAAATGAATAAAATCAAATAGAATACAGAAAACTTACTATGCGTACTGCTAGTCGAAGCCTTATGGAGCGCATTGAGCGCATCCATAGCCAGCTCCGCATCCAAGGATCCCAAGCACTTCAAACTCCGTGAGGAGCAAGCTTGACATTTGTATCCTGGCAATGGAGCCGAATTGGCTTCCAAGTCCCCTCGAGCAAGCGCCGAAACGCAAGCCTGACTTGGGAGGGAAGGCTACATAAATTGAAACATGTTAGCAATTAAGTTAATTAAAACGTCAGATAAAAACCTACATCGCGAATCACCCGGTTCACCTGCATTAGATCCTGCATAGTAAAACGAGCATTTTGGGTTTCCAAGATGGAGCCCAGCTCGACGAAGTCAGGATTGATGGCGAGGAGGGGATTGTCGCGATTCAAGGGAGCGCTATTCTATTAAATTAATAGAATTAGTATTAACTAAATTAAGTTGAATCACTGTGACTTACCCTGGCATGTGCAAACTTTGGAAAAGGTGTGAAGGCACCAGTTGACTGCTCTGGAAGTCGTAGG